TTCATTGCCGCGCATTTGTATGTGATAAAGTTATATATGACTTGACTTTTGTTGCGGTGCATTATATATGCATAAATCATGAGTTTAACATATATATGTGTGTGTGTGAATATCCGTATGATTTTCAGAAATTCCAAAAGAGATTGGCAATTTAGATAAGCTCGAGAAGTTGCATGTGCAGTCTAATGCCCTAAAAGGCCCTGTTCCTGTGGCTGTTTTCAACATGTCTTCTTTGACTATGTTGACTCTATATGAAAACAGCTTGAGTGGCGTTCTTCCAGACAATATATGCCAGCATCTTCCTAGTATTCAAGTGCTCGGTTTGGGTCTTAACCACTTTGATGGTCCACTTCCATCCAAATTATGGCAATGCAAAGAGCTTCTTATATTATCGTTGGAGAAAAACAATTTCAATGGAAGCATACCCAAAAATATTGGGAACTTAACACAGTTAACGATGATTGCACTTGACACCAACAATTTGACAGGTAATTGATATTTCATTATGTTATCCAATTATGATTTATCTTTTGTGTTTGGTTGCATAATTTATCATTATTTAACTATTTCGTAGTTTGTACCCCCAAAAAATTGTTTCATATATATATATATATAAAATACAAACGATATTCTACTTTAATCTAATCTAAATTAAGGAGAGGGAATTCGAACTCGACTGCAGAGTGAGGAGCATATCCATTTTAGCCAACTTAGTTAAATGTTTGTCTTGTTTCATATCTTATTTTAGCAGTTAAATTTATTTCATAGTTAGTAAATGGGGGAGATAGTTAACCAGGAATATTGGTTGTTCAACTATGATCAGAATAAAATATATTGACTTGCCTAATAAAGGTTCTATCGAAGTAAAAAAAAAAGAAGAAGCATAAAGACACATGCAGCCAATCGATGACTAGAACTTACGTAAATGTGCTTTGCTCAAGGGGTTGTGAAATTGTTGCAGGCAGTATCCCATCCTCAATCTTCAATATGTCCAAGATAGAAGAACTGACTCTTGGTATGAATCAGCTATCTGGTAGCCTCCCTGCAAACATAGGCCTTGGGCTTCCAAAGCTACAACTTCTTTATACAGAAGCAAATAACCTCAGCGGAGTAATCCCCGACTTCTCCAATGCTTCTATGCTCACGCACCTACAATTGCACCGAAACTCATTTACAGGGTTTATTCCAAGCACGCTTTGTGCCTTAACAAACCTTGAGTGCCTTAACTTATACATGAATAATTTGACGATTGAGACTTCCACTCTCTCTTGTTTGGCTAATCATGGAAATTTGAAAAGACTAGTCTTGGGAGCTAATCCGTTAAATGCTAGACTTGATGATTCCCTTCGGAATTGCTCTATATCGTCACTTCTATATATTGATTTAAGAGGTTGCAGCATGAAGGGTAACATTCCCATTGATATTGGCAACTCGAGCAGCTTGATAGACTTAAACCTGGGATACAATCAATTGACCGGATCAATTCCAACTTCTGTGGAAAGACTAAGAAATCTCCAAGGTTTGTATTTGAATGACAACAAGTTGGAAGGATACATCCCATATCAGCTTTGTCAAATAGATAAACTAGTTGAATTATTTTTGGGCAGTAATCAGCTCTCTGGTTCTATACCATCCTGCTTGGGAAATCTAGCTGCATCTTTAAGGATTCTATCACTAGAGTCCAATTCGTTGAGTTTCACAATACCATCTACTTTTTGGAGACTTGTCGATATCTTGCATGTAAACTTATCATCCAATTCTCTAATTGGACCTCTCTCGGAAGGTATTGGAAACTTGAAAGTTGTCCTAGAGGTAGATTTATCAAATAACCATTTATCTGGTATTATACCAAGCACCATTGGGGGTCTTCAAGATTTGGTTAATCTGTCCTTGGCAAATAATAATTTGGAAGGCCCTATTCCAAGTTCATTTAACCAGTTGCTAAGCTTGGAACTGTTGGATTTATCCAGAAACAGTATGTCTGGAGTGATTCCAAGTTCTTTAGAAGCTCTCTTACATCTCAAGTATCTGGATTTGTCCTTCAACAGGCTCCAAGGACAAATTCCAACAGGTGGACCCTTCCAAAACTTCCCTGCTCAATCATTTGTCTCGAACAGGGCACTATGTGGTGCACCCCGACTCCATGTTCCACCATGCAAAAATGGTACACTTGAACCAAATTGGAGGAAAGCTAAATATATCATCCTAGGGATCATATCAGTTATTCTCCTAGTGGCCTCCGTATCTATCTTTGTACTACGCAGGAAAAAGAACGTGGAAGTTGCAAGAGAGGCAAACTCGTTGCCTCAACTTCTTTGGAGAAGAGTTTCACACCTAGATCTTCTAAGGGCAACAAATGGACTTACTGAAAATAACTTACTTGGAAGTGGGGGTTTTGGCTCAGTATATAAAGGGACACTTTCAGATGGAACATATGTTGCAGTAAAGGTTTTCAGTTTACAGCTAGAAGGGGCTTTCAAGAGTTTTGATAGGGAATGTGAAATTCTAAGCAATATTCGTCATCGAAACCTTATCAAAATCATCAGCTGTTGCAGTGAACTTGATTTCAAAGCCTTAGTATTGAATTACATGCCAAATGGGAGCCTCGAGAAGTGGTTGTATTCAGAAAACTATTCTTTGAATATGTTACAAAGGATGAACATCATGATAGACGTTGCGTCAGCATTGGAGTACCTACACCATGGTAATTCAGTACCTATCGTCCATTGTGATATGAAGCCCAGCAATATACTTCTAGATGATGATATGGTTGCACATGTTGCTGATTTTGGCATTGCTAAACTCGTGGGTTTAGGAGATTCTACAACCCAAACCATGACTCTAGCCACAATTGGGTACATGGCTCCAGGTGAGTGCTTGCAAAGCTAGTTTATCTTTCAATTCTATATCTTGTCCTTAATTTGTGAAGAAGGTCAACAATTTTTTTCATCATATATATGTAATTAATAATATTGCAGAGTATGGAACGGAAGGAATAATCTCAACAAGAGGGGATGTATACAGTTTTGGTATTGTACTGATGGAAACATTTACAAGAAGGAAGCCAACAGATGAAATGTTCTCTGGGAAAATGAGTTTAAAGCAATGGATTGCAAATTCACTACTATTACCAGATGCAATAATAGATGAAGTTGTGGATGCCAATTTACTTGGGAAGACCAAGCAGGAGCATGATGTTGAGACCTGGAGGGATTGCTTATCATCCATCATTAGATTAGCTCTCGCTTGTTCTGCAGAATCACCGGCACAGAGGATTAATATGCAAGAATCTGTAGCCACACTCAATAAAATCAAGAATAAGCTTTTGAAGGACAATGGAGGTGTCCAGTAGTTTTCTTTTCATCATCATGATAAATGTCAACTTGTGATTTCTTTTCATCCAGTAGTTTTCTTTTCATCAGGCTTAATATGTTGTCCTTAATGATTAAGAAGGTCAATTTGTGATTTTCTTTTCATGGTATATACTAAAATCACATAAATAACATTGCAGCCTCTCCGTCTTTCGTTTTTCCTGTTTTTGTTTGGGCAGCTCTCTTTTCATCAGGCTTAAACTGCTTAACTTTAAAGTGAAGCAGGTTTTTGGCCAAAAAAGCAATCCCAATCGGGGTCTAACACCCATTAATTATATATTTTTTCTTCTCATCCAAAGAACTGTTATAATATTTCTTTTGCCAAAGAAGTAGGCAAGTTGCATTTGTAGCTTATCTTGAATGTCTAAGATTTGAGTTACAAAGAATTGTATGGATCTAACCAACTAATTAAAATGAGAACATGCATTGCGGAACTCCAAGATGTGTACATGCTAGAGAGCTTAGCTGATTACCTATCTCTGTATAGTAGTCAAACTCTCTAGCTTCTGATGTTTAATATGCTTAGAAATCAGAGCAATGCAAATCAACCAACAACTTCTACTTTATTAGTTACTACTATCTTGAATACACAGAAAATATTGTTTACCATCTCAAGAATTTATACTTTATTGGTCGGTTATCACTCTAAAGACAAGAACTAATTTATGGCCAACATGTTTAGTATTAGTATTCGTATTAGTACTGATATTCCACTCTAATGACAAGAACTACTGATATTCCACATAATTCATGACTTCAAACAGTTGACTTGTATGATAATCAATTCTCAGGTTCCATACCCACTGCTATCTTCAACTTCTCTGCATTGCAAACAATTGATTTGGGCAATAACGAACTATCAGGTACGAGTTAACAAACAGCTATCTAGGAATTGATTATTACCATTTAACATTAGTTAATTCTTTTGTTTTTCCTTCTCTCTTCTTTTTCTGTGGCATGTACACATGTTTAACAGGCATCATACTAAGAGAAATAGGGAACTTAACAATGCTCAAGGAGATACATCTTGACTCCAACAATTTCAAAGTTATGCTATTCTAATACGACTTAGCATTTTGTTGCAGAGCATTATATAGTATTCATAAACTGCTTACACATATAATCTTAGGGGCTGGTTGATGATAACGGGGTTAAATATATACATGTTGATTTTTCAGAAATTCCAAACGAGATCGGCAGTTTAGATCAGTTAGAGAAGTTGTTTGTGCAGTGGAATGCCCTAGAAGGTGATATTATTCATGCGGGTTTCTTCAACATGTCTTCTTTGATTGTTTTGTCCCTATATGAAAACAACTTGATTGGTGATCTTCCAGACAACATATGTGAGCGTCTTCCTAGTATGCAACAGCTGGGTTTGGGTAACAACCAACTTGATGGTCCACTTCCATCTAAATTATGGCAATGTACACAACTTCTTGTACTAAAGTTGAATAAAAACAATTTGACTGGAAACATACCCAAAAATATTGGGAACTTGACCCAGCTAACCGAGATTCATCTTGGCATCAACAATTTGAAAGGTACTTGCAGGGTCAACTCAACTCTATTTTTTATTTTATTTTTTATGCTTAACATTCTACCTTACAATAATAACCGGCCACATCCTCCTATCTCCTCTTCATGGGAGTATAAATGCCCCTTCCACAAAAGTAGGATTCAGTTTCCCATCATATTCAAACTTGCTAAACATGAGCTGCCATAATTTTGAATCCCATCAATAAACATAGAAGAAAATGAAGTGAAAGAATAGACTAAAAGAAAGTGGCTGCAAAAATGTGGCTGCAATGACACAATATTGCTGGGGTCAAAAGGTGGTGCATCCGACACAGTTCTTGCTCAAAATATCGGCTTCAAAGAATAAAATGGCAAACGTATCTGGAAAAAAATGTGACAGATTACTATTGGAGTTTGAGATATGTAACTACAATTTTAATGTCGATCAAGGAGCTAGTGTGTTACCTACTGTCTGCCACTGGTCTCCAACAGTGTCAAGGCCTGCTGTGTAACCAACAGTATCCCAATCACGACTTGTGCGAACAATTAGTTTATAGCGACGACTGTCACCTTTAAGGCGCAGCTCCAAACCATCATATGCAGAGAGATCCTCAGCTGTTGATAGATTCTAGATACAAGCATATTCATCACTAGATGATAAGCAACTGACCAACTTCAGGGAACAGCAAAAAATTCTATGCACAAGATATTTACAAGTCACAAGAAAACGTTGCTCTTTACCTTTGTTCTGATACTGGTAAAACCACCATTGTTTGCAGTGGAAACAACCCCTGAAGGAGAAGAGACATACCAAATAAATAAATTTCAACTAAACCAATCCAAATATGAACAGTTCTAATAGAATCACCAGTGAGAACGCAATACAAAGACACCAGTTCTAAAGTTTGAAAAGATCATACCTTTAAAAATTCCAGTTGGTCCACCATTTTCACCACCGTTTGGATCAATCTGAAATGTACTTTCACTAACTCCACCCATCACAACATCATCTAAAGCACCCCAAGCTTATTATCTGCAAATTACAAACAAAGAAAAGAATCTCAAATGGTATATATTGTTCACCTAATAGAATATGAGCATTGATGATTTCAGTTAGGTTCCATGTATGAAAAGTTCGAGCGCCTTCCCTAGCATGTTAAGTATAATGGACTGCAGAATAACATGTTTTTTCATGACGGTTCTTCATATTTGTTCTCCATACCATATTTCATATTAACCTAAATTCTCCACCGTTTTTTCCCTTTTCGAAAAGAGTTTTTACTTATTTCCCAATTATTTGTATAAGAACAACTGGACCAAAACGGGCCGCCTAGACCCGCCTAGCGCCGCCTAGACCCGCCTAGCTCTGCCTAGCTCCGCCCAGACCCGCCCAGACCCTCCCAGCACCACCTAGACCAGCCCTGCAGTGCATAAGTTTGAAAAATCGCTAGGCAGTAGGCTTAAAGAATAAAAGAAAAGAACCAGACCCACCCTGGCAGCCAGACCCGCCTAGCGCCGCCTAGGGCCGCCTAGATCCGCCTAGCTCCGCCTAGACCCGCCTAGCGCCTCCCAGACCCTCCCAGCGCCTCCCAGACTTGGTGCGGTTGCTGCAAGCCTGCAACTACGGCCTCTTGGGTGCTTTGCCGCTGCTTTGTGAAGAATATTTATTATTCTATTTATTAGGTTTATGATTATGTTGTTAAATTGTGGAAGTCCTATTGTTTAGGGACTTGGTTGTTTAGTTGCTAGTTAATCGGAGAGTCCAAGTTGTCATGGAGTCATGGTTAGTGGCTGAATGTCATGGTTTAGTCGTGCATTAGTTGTTCAGTATTCAAGTTAATGGTGAAGAGAAGTTTGAAGTTTTTCAAATTTCTTAATATTATTTCATAAGATAAAATTAAGAAATAAATCCAACTGTAAAAAAAGTTCGATTTCTATTTTAAAGTGGATACATGACAATATCTCAAAATCTAAGACTTGACAAAATCACATACACATGAATATAATTCACACAGTTGGGTATTTGGCTGCTGAGCCTGTTCATGTTTACAAGATGGTCACACAGTTGGGTTTTCTCCAGAACTGCTCTCTGTTTTCAGATGAAATTTTAGTTAAGAAAAAAAATTAATTGTTAAAAGGAACACTATAAAAACAGGTAAGGTTCTGGTAGTTCTACTAAAGAACAAATGAGCATAATAACTACTGATAAGAAAATCTGTAAGCAAAACGATTATTCTACTTCTAAACCTAAACCTAGAAAACTGGAATCAAAGTAAATAATACCATTTCTAGAGCAAACTCAAACTCAAACTCATTTATTTAGAACCATTAAGCAGGTGTCATATTTACGTAATCATATAGCAGCAAATATTTACATATTTTTTTTTTCTTCTTAAAGGCAATATAATCATAAGTTAATAAATCCATGTTAGCATTCATCAACTATTGTCGATATGAAAAAAATAAATTAAAGTATGCTTGACGAGAAATTATTACTTCATCGTAACCAGACTCTTCAATAACATCCAAGTATGAAACAATTAAAAAATCTCCAAGGTACTGGTGGAGGAGGCTAGTAGTAGCATGGTACCGTCCGTTCCTACATTAGACATATCAGGGGATGATAAAACTCATAATATTGTAAAAAATAAAAAGCAAAAAAGAAATGACACAAAATAAAAATAGCATGCTCAAATATACGGGTATTATGCGCACACACAAGCGCAGAGTTCACTCACTTAGTCAAATCATCAGAGCATATAGCAAGCCAGCGTTTCAATGAAGAGCTCTTCTTGCGGATTCCTCTGAAGGCCTTTGGCGGTCTTGGCAAGTTTGGAAGGTGAATGTCATCAAGATCTATAGAGTTTAGTTCATGTGAGTGTGCAAGAGATTTTAATACAGCTTCCTCTGTAATTCCTGCAACTGAATCTGGAGAATATCCATTCCATAAGAATTTATGTCAAACAAACCAGGAAATGCAGGATAAGGATAATAATGTATCAGCTCACCATCCAGTAGTTTCCCAGAAATTGTCATAAACTCCTTCAAAAGCTTACCCAAACTCCAATTTCTTGGATGCTATTAAGCAGTAGGGAATCAGTAAGATGAATAAGTGGACAGCAGTATACAACATCCTATTTGAAAATCTCATAATACCTTCAGTGCGTTAACATTTGCAAAGACAATTTCATCTGTCACTCTTGCATGTACCAATTATCGACTTCCATTGAGTCAATTAACAACAAAGGTGCGGAAGGAAATGTGATATTTGCACGTTAAATCAAATAGGAGAATTTAGTAAAAACAAGAATATGAAACTCAGCTAGATTTATTATCAAATAAAGCAAAGATGTATAAAATATTAAAATATGAAAAACAGGCCAAGCAAGATATGGTCGCAGCAATCAGTAATACAAAGGCATGCTTACTAATATACACTGTCTATTTATTTTTAACACAAAGGCATTCATACATTGATAATTTGTTTTGGATGTTGTCACACTTAGCAACCTCACATTTTCCTATGCTTCAGATTGTAATATATACTGATCCTCTCAGCTACCTTTAGGTGATATGACTCAGTTTTGCATTCTGGGCCACACTTTCTAAATTTATTTGTAACATCGCTAAATACTAAAAACAAAGAAGTTTAAAAGTTAAACTAGTTATCAACAATCTTCCTTAGACCAGGTAAAACCATTTTTCTCGATGTCTATTGCTTTGAATTTTTCCCCGATATCCAAGTGTCTGTACGAACAAGCATGCTACTGTAAACTGATAACCTACTGTATTCTAGTTCAAAATATAGCAATACATTTGAAGTACTGACACAATGTTTAGAATAGTGAATGTTTATTAATTAAGAAGTTTAAGTAACACACAAAATGCTACTATATTTGGGTGATAAATTAGATGGCTGCGAGAATGAAGTTGGTGAGACTCAGAAACTTACTGGAATATGTGTTGGGAACAACTTTCATTATCACCAGTTAAAATGGACTGTCTAAGTTCATAGACATGCTTCCTCTGTACCTGGGAAAAGGGAATAAACAATTCGGCAGAGGTAGTTTTTGTCGGCAGAAGTCTAATCTGATAAATATTTGGGAAAAGACGTGTGCCAACGAAATTTTGTCGGGAGAAGTGTTTATGTTTAAAAAAAAACATGTGCCATTTGTTTTCTTTTTTCTTTTTTATTTTATTTTTAGAATTAAGAAAAGATAATATTGGTAGTTATGTTCCATAAAAGTAGGATTCATTATATGATTTTGTTTTTAATTTTAATTTTTTTAATATGAAAAAATGTGAATTTACCATATTATCCTCATTTAATTAATAATTTCAATTCTTAATGTTTAAATTAACCAAGGACATTTTCTGGTATTTTGAATGTTTCACCATTCTCTGCCTTTTGCTTTATAGTTGAAAACTTGTGTAAAAAACATAGTGTCACGGACCTCACTTGATGAAATTTCGTTGGCACAGGTCTGTTAGACCTCTCCCAACGAAAGTTCGTCGGAAGAGGTGTTTTCGTTGCAAAAACCTAATCCGGCAAATTTTTGCCGGTATAAAACTGTGCCGACAAAGTTTTGTCGGGAGAAGTGTTTATTTAATTTTTTTTAATTTTAAAAATATTAAATTTGTGTCTTTACTTTTTTTTTTTGGCCAACTTCTTTAATTTAATATTCGTAATCGGTATTCCATGTATCTATGCTCCGGAAATACATGCCAGATCCTTCCCATGTTTTAGAATACCAACCTGTGGAGAATATTTAAATATGTTACTTATTTCATAAATTGCTCAATAAAATTATTTTAAATTACTTTGTGCAATTTTCAAACCTAATTGTATTCAAATTTAAATTGAAAGGATATGTCAAAAACGAAAAAAATAAATTGCTTATTTTCGTTTCAGTGATTTAATTAAATTTCTCCAAACACCAAGAGCCCCGAGGCCCAAGTTTTTGATTAATATAATTATCATTAATCAGTGCCAAATCCAAAGCCAAGCCTATAGCCAAGCCCATTACCACAACTCTCCAATGTTAACCACACTTACCAAATATATTATTTAATTACTAACAATAAAATTTTAAAAAATTAATTAACCTAAACATCCTATGTTTATATTTATTTATTTTTTTTTAAAAGACCTCTCCTGACGAAATTTCGTCAAGAGAAGTGTTTATTTAATTTTTTAAAATTTTTTAAAATTTTGTTTTAAAATTTTAAAAATATAAAATTCGTTTCTTTACTTTTGTTTTTGGCCAACTTCTTTAATTTAAGAATAATACTAGTCTTACCACCATTTTTGTAACACCCCGACCCCATTTATTTCCTATTTTAATTTAATTAAGAGAAAATATTAATTTACTCTTGGGTTAAGGGTAATTTTGGTCACTTTCGTATCCGGGAAGATTTTGGGGCCATGAGTGGTGTGGTTGCGTAGGTGGTACTGAGACGAAACCGTAGACAGGCGGTAGGCTTGAATCGGAGATTTAACGAAGCTTTGGCGATCAGAACTTGTTCGGTGGCAGAACCGTAATTATTTCGAAGTAAGTTTGGGGTAAAATCAGATTTTTCACATTTACCCCTCACTTTCTCTCTCTCTCCCTCCCGTGTCTCCTCCCTCTGCGTCAAACCCATTTCCCGTTACTGTTCACCGATCGGAAACCTCCTCACAGCCGCCACCTCCGACCACCACGTCCGACGAGACCGGTCCCGATCGAACCGCCATCTCTTCCTCTCTCTTCCCCAGCCAGCACAGCCCCGGAAACCCTCGGGACTCGCCGAAAAATGCAGAAACGTGGCCGGAATTGACTGGAACTTCCAGCCGCTCGACCTCCCTCCTCCAGCCACCATC